TGAAGTTCGGCGCAGCTGCCTGATTGGCCGAGCTAAGTTGGCTTTTTTTTGTTCTACACAGGCGCAACTAAAGTCTTTAACTGGCTTCTACTTGGGGTTATATGTATCTAGAAGAATGTATCTTTTGCGCTCTTCTTCTCGGCTGCTTCATTAGAAAAATGACGGCTTTGTCTTTTTTATGGCTTACTTTAACGCTTGCTGCGGCTGCTGCTGCTGCTGCGGCTGCTTCTTCCTCTTCTTGTTGGCTTAACTCATTTGGCCGCGAGGCATCTTGCGTTTGCCCATTAGCCATAATGGCCACATTGCCACCTGTGTTGCACACACACGCACACACACACACACGCACACTCGCTCGCAAATTGCAGCATACCTTGCGGCGCTTTGCCGCCTGATATGCAACTTTTATTATTGATGTTTGCTAATGATTTAGTTGAGCTGCTCTTTTTTTTCGCTTTTTCAATTTTCGCAACTTTTTTTTGGTCGCCGTGAGAAAAATGTTTGGGAAAGTTTTCGTTGCATTAGCCATGCTGTGGGAATTATTTGCCAAAGTTTTTCATAGATTTTTTTTCATAGATTTGCCAAATTTAGACTAATCATGGCCATAATTTATTGTCACAGCCAAAGCCCAGCAACAGTGCAACGAATCGAGCCCAAGTCTGGGGGAGGTCCAACCCCCCCAACCCCCCTTCCCCTTCCCCTCCCCTCCAGGGAACAGCCACCCTTCGAGCAGCAAATAAAAGTCGAGAGTCAACAAATCGAAATACATGTGAGTGCGAAAAACTAATGGATTGATTTATGTGGCTCAGCACCTGGAGTGCTGAAATTTATTGTGGCCCAGGGCCATAAATCAGCCCAGCAGCGACGACAGTTTTGCGTGGGCGCAAGAGAGAGGGGGAGAGGGAGAGGGGGAGAGGGAGATAGAGAAAGTTTGCTGAAATTGACAAAGGGATAAGGAATTCGCCACGCCGCAGACAGACACGTTTTGGGGGGGGGGGGATTGTGAACTTTGCCAGCGATTTGTACATTTTGAGTAATTAATAGCTCCCAGCGGTATTTTTGCGATGCGACAATAAAAATATGTTTCTCGATTTGTTTGACTTTGGCTCTGGTTGGGGTCACATCTCGCACACAGACGATATCAGACGAACGAAAATTAATTGCTGTCATTAACATGAGAATTAGAAGAGAGAGAGAGAGTCCAAGTCAGATTCAGGATGTAAACGAAAAGTAATTTGAGTTTTTATTGCTTCCGCGTTGAAAGAGTGAGAGAATATCTTTTCGGGGGAGGGGGGGGCGCCAAATAATGGAGATTAATATGGGGCGTGAATAGACAGATGCAGATGCCGATATTCAGATTAGAAGCCGGGCAGGGAAAATGTTCGGTTTTGAGGCGTGGAAATGGAAAATGTGGTCGGGGTTGCGGGGTTGCGGGGGTTGCTGCAATTAACGCTGTGACTTTACATTTTTATGCCCTGCACCGATTGTTTGCTGCTCGATATTGCAGGGTATGCTGAATGTGTAAGAGTGTATGTCACAGCCAGATGGAGGCATAAAGATAAATATGCCTCTTCAGAAGAACGATCTTAGTTTATAGGGTATACTCGATCAGAGGCTTTCTTTCTTTCCGTATATATATGCGTCGATTCCAGAGCTAAAAGGGAGCTTTTATAAGCAAACTTGGAATATGTACCTATAAGTGAATCTTTAAATGACCCGATCGAGTCTGAAACTGAAAGAATGCTTATTGGGGGTATTAAAAAATGATGAGTTATTGAGACAGGAGATTTATATGATTTATGCATGACTAGCGGGTATAAAACAAATAAACAAAGAGCTAAATCCTATAAAATTCGGATATGATTTGACCACATTATGGGGTTGGGAAATTATGACCTATGTCTACATAAGATATTTGAGGGTACACATTTTTACATGAATTTCGACCCAGAAAAGTTCTACCAGATTTAGATGCCAAATTGATAAAGATGTCAAACCATGAAGAAAGAGCCAAACCTGGCGAAAATCGGATAAGATTTGACCGAGTTCCAAGGGTGGGAAGTTTTGACCTATGTCTATACATATAGGTTGAGGGTTACTTTTTCACATGAATTTCGACCTAGAATACTGTTGGCAGATTTAGATGCCAAATTGATAAAGAGGTCAAACCATGAAGAAGGAACCAAACCTTATGAAAATCGGATCAGATTTGACCGAGTTACGGGGATGGGAAGTTTTGACCTATGTCTATATAGGTTAGTTGAGAATAATAATAGGATGTATATAAGTGATTAATTTAAACTATAATCTTAAAGAGCTGATAGCTCTATAACGATCGGACAGTAGACAAGTAAGTTATTCAAGAATACTTTTTCCCTTGCGTGAAGGTAAATTATTGATTTGTCGAGTTGGTTACGGGGTATTATGTAGTCGAATACTCGGGGCTGTTGTTGTAAAATGTGTAAATTAGCTTAAAATTTCAACAGCAAATAGTTTGACGCCCTCAGATCGCATCGCATCGGATCGGATCAGATTGGATTGGATTGGATTGGATTGGATTAGATCGAATCGGTTAGGGCCAAGGATTCTCATGAAATGTGAGCGCGAGTTTTTTAACACAATTATAAATGTACGGCTGCACATTTGTATAAGGATTTGGCTGGCGTATTAAGGACTAATTGCGGCTATTGGCCATTGGCCAGTTGCATGCAACTCGGCTCACCTGTGTGTGAGTCGGCGCCGATCAAAGGTAGGGCCACAAAAGGATCTGCTCAGCCGGAGCCCGAGTGCAGCTCTCTCTCTCTCGTTTACGATTCTTCACGCTTAGTCGGACTGTGAGGAGTAGAAGGTGTGAAAGGCATTGACCAAAACTAAAGTGCAACGAGCGAGAGAGAGTCCATTAGCCACCTACGCTGAGCTATGCGATGGATAGTTCTGAGGTCCTTGCGCTAACTACGTGTGGCTAATGTGTCCTTTTGTGCTCGGCTGCGGATTATCACACGCTTTTTAATGAGTTTTTCCTAGACCTGCTGGCAAACCTGTGCCAATTCCCTTTGTCAGGCGCATTTGTTACGCATCCAGAGACAATGCTGCCTCACAGTCTTAGGATCAGGGTCGAGGATCGGGCATGAACTATGACCAGTTACATTTTGTAAAGCGTCATTAACACACGCGCTGACACACACAACAGAAACAACAACAAATGTTGAGCATATTAAAACTAATTCGAATTAAGTGAACTCGCTCGCATTCAATTTGTGCATCGCATCTATTTTTTTGTTCGATTTGATTTGATCCATTTTGAAAAATTGAATTTTAATTTGCCACACAAGTTGCCGGCCTAAAAGGTTTCCACCATTTTCCGATAAGCGCGAGAAAGCAAAGCTGAAAATCAACAATTGGTTCTATCTAAATGGATCTCCGTTTCTCTGCCTCTGCATATAAAAAAGAATGTAGAATTTTTATTTTTTTATTTTTTCAACTCAAGTAGGCAGCATTTTAGATAGAAATTAGCTTAAGATAAGCTCATGATTGGCTCTTAATCTAAATTGAATTAATCAAGAGGTGCAATAGTCTTAGGAACATAAATTCTATGCCATTTGAATGCCTTCAATTAAATTACTTTTTAAAATGCGGCTAATATTTGTTTCTGTCAAGCTCCCGTTAAGTTCTTAATCAAGTGAAGTTCAGTTAGAAATTGAATGCGGTTTACCTTATTTTGTCGCCAGTTAAGTAAGTTTTTTATAGTAGAGTGAAGTAGCTTAAATCACATAGTATTTAAATAGATTACCCTCACAGAAATGATTTACTAATCAATGCACACAAAAAGTTACAATTTTTGAAGTTGAGCATGAAAAAATTCCTGACGATGATTGGGAAAATAATGGAAAACGGTTAAATAAAAATAGCCTGAATATTTTCTGATCCTTTTCAAGCTAATTTGCGAAGAAGCATGTTTCTAACTATTCGAAAAATCCACAAAATTTAAATTTTTAATTCGAAAATTTCAAAATTGTATATGAAAAACTATCCAAAAACAGAAGATAGAAGGAAAACTAACTTTAAATTCGCTGAAAAGTATTTGCGACGTGCAAAGCCGGGTAATATTTGCAATTTTAGTATATATTTAGTATCATATAACAAAAAGTAAACTTGAATTGAAGTTAACAGGCAAGTCTACAAGTATTTAGTATCTAGTTGATATGCAACTCGCCCACAACTGCAACAACGAACCTCGAACATCGAACATCGAACATGTTGCAGCGCGAGCGCACACATTGCCTGCAAACGCACTCTGTTGCTCTCCCTCTCTCTCTTTTTACTGTTCTCTGCGTCGCTCTTTTCCACTCTCTGCTCGAAGCCGTGTTGCAGGCGTGTCTTGCATGGCTCTTGCAACCGTGACGTCATCACGAGCGGGGCAGCCAATCAGCACGGCTCGTTCAGGCGCTTGCGCTGCGCGTCGGCGCATGAGAGCAGAGGGCAAGAAGCAGCAGAGCTAAATGTTTAGCCAAATTAATTGCAGGATAATAACTTATGAGCTGACACCCGCCCGACTGTGACAGCCGCTGGCCAAGTCTCTAATTGGTTTTTTTTTCCACCGTCTTTCTAGACAGGGACAGGGGCGGGGGCAGGGACAGGGGCAACGGAGGCGACACAAAACCCACCCACACCCGCCTACGAGAGCAGCTGGAGAGGCTCCTCCTGGCTGCGGACGACGCCATTGTCGCTATCTTCATGCCATCTGCATTTCATTTTATTTGTAATTGGATGTAATTCAATTTGAAAATAATTGTTGCTATAATTTCAGTGTAATTTTCTGTTGCCGTTTTGTTGTCGTCATTTTTTATTCCGGCTAACGCACACATTGGTACGTGGCCACAGTGGAGCTTCGCTTGAACGAATGGCAGCAGAAAAAACCATATGAAAATAAAAATTAATTACTTTAATACCTTCAACATAATATGTATATTAAATATGATATATATTACATTTCTCTCTTTCAGGTTCTTTATAGCGAGTAATCACTGTGAGTATTTATTTTTCTTTTTGCCAATTGCGTTGCGCCTCGGCACTCAAAAATAAATTAATGAAATAAACTGAAATTGAATGCATTTCGAAATGTGTTTCATAGAGACGAGGGCGAGGGAGCGCGGCGGAGGGAGGAGTAAGAGTCAGATAGGTATACCTGTAATTTGTGCGCCCTCCGTTATGTAGAATCGAGCCATACATTTACTTAAATTACAGTATCATATTATTATTATTGATAATTGCGCTTTTAGCTTTCAGCTCTTATTGCTCGAACCGGGTATTCATATTCCAACGAGCCAAATGTCAGCTTTGAAGAGGCCCCAACTGAAGTTTATTGTCTAATTAATAAGCTCTGTCTCCCTCTCGCTCTCTCGCTCTCCCTCTCTCGCTCTCTGTTTGTCTGTCACAAATTAATTAACGCCACCTTCAACAGACAGAGAGACGAGTACGTCTATTGTGGGCCCATTAGGCCAGATGACTGCGGGCTTTGAGTCTATATGGCAAAAAGCATTTCGAGCTGGCATTGTCTATGTTTGGGGCTCGGGGCATTCATCCATCATTCGGCACCGCACGAAACAATCATTCTCTATTCATAATTGAAAAAAGTAACGTTCCACTACCGTTTGACAGGCCGAGTCGATATGTCTATAACAGCAACTACACTGCGAGAAATGCGCCTATCAAAATTCTAGTCTGAACGGAATGTTCTTTGATTGCCGAGTATATTTCGTTTTTGATCAAACTTAATTTAAGTCTGAATTATTCTTGACTTCAGGTTTGACTGCAAGCCAAACAAAAATGTTTGCTGTTCGAACGAATACTTCGCTTTAAAGCTTGATTCGTTAATCCAGGCTTTGGATTTGGTTTGATTCAGTTGTATTTGGCTTATGATAAATAAAATATGTTGAATCGGTTCGATTCAAACCTGATTTGCAGCGAAGGTTAATATTAGAAAAATAATATAAAGAAAGACCTACAAAATACTCGATACCTGAAGGTCTTAGATTTTGGTTCTTTCAGTTGTATCTAGAACTTTTCAATCTACTTCTATTCTATTCTATTCTACTTGTTTTATAACCAAATTACAATGAAATATGTTGGTTTCGGGTCTGATTCGGTTCGCTTCAAACCTGGTTTGCAGCAAATTTATACAAAAATTTGCAATTTCTTAAATAAGCTGCAAATGTTTTTCAGATTCTCTCTTGCAATCTTTTAAATAAGCTTCAAATGTTTTTAGATGCTATTTGAGTCTTGGAAAAGAATTTCGTACTCGGATTAAGACAAACTTAATCCCTTATTTTGGTAAAATATTCTTGACTTTTTCTGCGAGTGTAGAATATTTAACTTTGTCTGTGGTTAATATTAGGGAAATAAGATAAATATCAAAAAAATACTTAATACATGAATTTGCAAACTTTTAAATACGCTCAAATGTCAACCCTGATTCGATATTTTGTTAAAATATTCTTGATTGTTTTCTGCGAGTGTAGAAATTATAAGTTTGTCTGTGTCTGTGTCTGGGCTTACTAATTGCCACCACTTAATGGCGCAATTTGATTTTCAAATAGCGGTTCGGGTCTCTCAGTTCTCGGTGCCCGGCAAGATCATCAATGACAACTTTTGTCAGCAGCTTTTCAATTGAGGCAACGAGTACGGGAAGTCGGAATTGTGTGCTTGTGCTCCATATATGTATATCTCTCGGTTGTATATCAATGAGTGCGGAGTGCGGAGTCTGGCTTGGGGCAAGTGAAATCAGCTCAACAAACTGTGGCAAGTGGTGTGGTGCATAAGTGCGAGATGTGGTCAAAGAGTTTAACACGAATGAAGCTCCCTTCAATTGAGGGTAATTGTGGTGCGGTCACACCAGACCAGACCAGACAGACACACAGAGTCCGGCCCGAGCCGCAGTACGTGTCGATAATAATATTTCAAACTAATTGCGTCTACAATTTGGATCGGCAACGGTAGCCACAGAAGTGACATGCAGCTGACAGCTGAGTTATGATGAGGGGCCAGCGGATCTTGCTATAAGGCTACTTAAATTAAATTTCGGGTTCGGTTGAGGAGCTCCAAAGAGTTTTATGCAGCCGGCGGCCATTTTTGCGGGCCACAAGTGCGTACAAATTTGACTGTGAAGCTTTCACTGCGCCAGGAACCACGATCAGCTCGATCAGCGATCGCCTCGATCAGCGACACATCCTTAACAACAACAAGAACTTGGCTGAGAGACCCGAGCAGCAGCAGAGGTAAAAGCCCAGTCAGAACGTTCTGACCAGAGACGAGACATAATTACCACCTTTAAGAAGATGATGGTGGCTTTTCGCGGGCTTTGATCTCTGCCGCCGCAACGAGACGCAAAGCCAGAGTTCGCCTCGCCTCTTCGTTGGCGACCACGACACGTCGCCTCTCCTTGCCTGGTTCCCGTCCCCATCCCCGCTCCCGGTCCCGCTCCCGCTCCCAGTCCAGCTCCCAGCAGTAGTTGGCTCAATCTATCTATCGATTTTTAACGCGAGTCTGACGTTAATGGAGCTTCGGCTCGGGTAATGCCTGGCCCTCTCCATAGGTTCTGGACGCCGCGTAAGTAATGAGAATGCGATTTGCTTAACTTGCAAGTTGCAACAACGACGACGACGGCGACGACAACAATGCGGGCCATATAAATAAGTCACGTAAACAGCAACAATGGCCGCGACCCGCTCGCCCGCTTCTTTTGACGTTGTCTCATACTCTTGCAGAGGGCATATTCTGCTTGTGGCCAAATATGTAACGCATGGAATATCAGCTAGTCTGGCTGTAGTTATGTGTTTATTAAATTAGGGGTCAGTAGATAGGTCAGAGTCGGTTCAAATAGATCAAACTAATGTCAGCTATCAGGAACTTTTTGTCGAAAGATGAGTTCTCATTTAATGAACCTTTTTCGTGTTTTAACATATTTTAAATAAATACTGAAATTAAGAGCCCTACTTTGACATATAAAGGCAATATAAAAACTATTTTTATTGTCTTTGATATTAGTATACAACATTTTTTATAGCTTGCTAAACAGGCTATAAATTTTGCCATGATTTCCCATCCCAATCTGTTTATCCTACCTTCTTAACTGTCTATATATCGAGTATAAATTTCTTTACTTTATTATTAACATATTTTTTTCTGTTTTCCTATTTATTGTATTTTCTTAAATAATATAGTAAATTAAGATTATTTTTAATTTTTACTTAAGAACAATATTTTCTCTACTAACATATTCCCTCTTAGCTATAGGATCTAATAAAATCTGATAAAATTAGCTGTGAAAAGGGGCCGGAATAAAATAACTCCACGTTGCTATTAGAAAATTGTGTATTCTCATTAGGCTTTTATCATATAATTTTTCTAATTGAATAATTAGTCAGACTCTCGTTTTTGTCGACCATATTTAAATAAACAAAAATAAAAATATATTAAAATAAATAATAAATAAAAATAAATAAGTCGAGAAGCAGCCAAAATTGTTGTTTACTTTGCAGTCGAATAATTTATTGCATATCTATCAAAGAGAGCTTAGAGTTTGCTTTAGCTTTGCCAGCCCGAAGGGAAACCAATTTTTTTCGTTTTCTACAACAATTTTTCGTGTTGTTTTTTTTCGTGTGCGTTGCCGCAATTAGGCGCATGCGTCATGGTTGGCACCTCTCCGTGTCCGTCTCCGTGTCCGCGTCCCTAGTCCGGCTCTCGGCTGGGCTTGTGCATGTATATAATTACGGCGTACTTTTGCTTTTAAGCTAAAAAGCTGCAATTAAACTTTCTCGCTATTTTGTCTGTTGATTGCATTGCCATCAAATGCATCGTTTGCGCTCATTAATGAGCCACTTGGGTGGTTCCAGCGGGGGGGGGGGGGGGGGGGGGGTTTAATCAGTCAACTATGTTGTGCAACAGTTGAAATATGGTTGAAAGCTTTGAAAAATAGATCGAGTGTGAGCCTATGTTTGAATTTATTCGATTTACTAGATGAGTTGTCTTATTGGTTCGGTTATTGGGGCAGCTTAAAAGGAAGGTTACTGGTTCGAATCTTAGCCTGTAAAGTAGATTGTTCAAAGCGGGTTTGCCCGATACTAATAAATGTTTTTATCATAGTAATAAGTTTGCTCATCTACTTCTCAATAGATAAGTTGACTAAATAATCCTGTCATTCAGGCCATTTAAAGAGGAGGTTACTGGTTCGAATCTTGGGCTGTGGTAAATTAAGTGCTTTTTCAAAGATAGACTAGCATAAAAAGACACAAGTAATAGTAATAATATACGTCCCTAACTGTTATCCTTGGTATACTGCAGTGCTCCAGTCATTTAGGCAACTGAAAAAGAAAAGTTACTGGTTCGAATCCTAAATTGGTGCATGGATGTAGAGATGTCTCTCTCTCTCTTTTTTACTCTCTGTCTATCCCTCTTTCTCTCTCTCTCCTCCCTCTCTCTCTCTTTCTCTCTCTCTCCTCTCCCTCTCTCTATCCCTTCTTCCTCTCTCTCTCTCTATCTCTCTCTCTCCTCTCTTTCTTTTTCTCTCTCCCCTGTCTCTCTTTCTCTCTCTGTGTCTCTCTCTCTCTGTCTATTTTTTTCTCTCTTCCCTCTCTCTCTCTCTCTCCTCCCTCTCTCTCTCTCTCTCTCACTCTCTCTCTCACTCTCTCTCTCTCTCTCTATCTCTCTCTCTCTCTTTCTCTCTCTATCTCTCTCTCTCTTTTTCTATCTATATCTCCCTCTCTCTCTCTCTCTCTCTTCTTCCTCTCTCTCCTCTTTTTCTTTTTCTCTCTCCCTTGTCTCTCTTTCTCTCTCTGTGTCTCTCTCTCTGTCTATTTTTTTTCTCTCTTCCCTCTCTCTCTCTCTCTCTCTCTCTCGCTCTCTTTCTCTCTCTCTCTCTATCTCTCTCTCTCTCGCTCTCTCTCTCTCTCTCTCTCTCTCTCTCTCTCTCTCTCTCTCTCTCCCCCCCTCTCTCTCTTCTTAGCTTAATGTTGAATAATTATATTCTCC